GTTATTAGAGTTTACTTCATACTATGTGTTATATAAAACTGCTTACATGAAAGCATCAGTCCTGCAAACCATTTTCTCAGATTACAGCCCATTTAGTGAGCCACCACAGACACAGAAAGGCTGTTCAGGAAGCAATGAGTATTATGAACAATGTAGACAACCAACATTTTCCTTCCTGTGAACAGAACAAAGGGCTAGGAGCTGTTACCATCCTTCTTTTCCGTATAAGCCCACTGGCTTATGGTACAGACTTTGTAATCCTCTCAGCGGTACTGTCAAAATGTTGCACAACAGCAAACAAGTGACTCAATTCATTATGACCAGTGCATTCTGAAGCCTATTATAGACACTTTTAACCCTTCAGAATTATCAAGGGGGTGTGTTTGATAAAACTACACAAAGTGCATACTTTTGTTTTACATGAATATGAAATTCGGCTAGCAAGGTTCCCACTACAAGAGACAGACTTCACCAGCCTAGTTTAATCATAACCTTCTTGCCTAGAAGTTCATTACACAGGGTCTAATTCTCTTTAAACTGAATATGTATCTGCTGGAAGAAATTATTAGATACAGACATTTGATGGCTCAACAGGTTTCTGCCAGCTCTAAAATTTGACTTCCTAAAAGGCAAGTTCATGTCTCAGTAATTTCTGCCCTGCCTTTTGGAATTTTGAAAGGTCTGATTTTAGACTAAGTTTCTGTATCTGTAGCTATTTAAAAGGCTTCAGCTCACACAACACCAAAAGCAAATCCAATTCCAATTGCTGCCCTAAGTCTGTAGTCTCACGTTGTCCCTTGCATAAAATGAGACAAGAAGTATTTTTCCTGACCCCAAATCCAGCAGCCACCTCATTTCCCTTTGATAACAGTTTATAACCTTAATGTCTTATGAAATCCAGTGTGCTTGACCTGAGGAGGTCTCCAAAAACGTCAGTATCAGCTGTTGGGAAATATTTGCACTGTGGCTTGCATCAGAGATGAGAGGGGTGGAGCTATTGTGGTCTGCCACTCCACCAAACCACCCTGCACAAGTTCCAATTCCCTTCAAATAAGATTAATCCAGAAATAGCTCTAAGTGCCTGCTTGTGTTCTTAGATTGGGAACTGTAGGAAGTCATGATACTGAAACAGCTCTCCTCAACACCAAGCACCTTGTGTTTTAGATTGTTACAGAAATAAGTAGTAGTATATTAGTTAACCCAGACAGGTACCACTTGAGAGGAGGTGAGAGCAGAATATATCAGACTGCTGAAGTTCTTTCCCTCCCTCTTACCAACTGCAAGAAGCTAGCATCAGGCCAGCTCACTTCATATGCAAGTGAAAGATATAATTTTTTTTTTTAATCTGACTTTAGTGGCCCATTCCCTGCTTTTCACCAGGTGGTTTTGCAACAGAAATTTCCACCTTCCACCCAAAAATAACCCTCTGTACCATATTCACATAAGCACACACCTGCCATAGGTATCTTGGTGGGTCCATGAGAGACAGGATTAAAGTTTCAAATGAGAAAGTAGTAACAGATTCTGTGCACCATAAAGCAGATCAAAACCCAACTTACTACCTAAGTTTTCCCTCTGTCATCTCCCTTTGTGACCCTCCCCAGTAACTCCTCTAATTCAATGCCATTCATGGTAAAAAAATAAACCAGCATGTGCTCTGAATTTATTCCAATCCAGAGATAATTTTATGTGTGCAGAAATTCAGCTAAGTCATGTATTAAAAACTACTTTTATAATCTAAAAATATCAAGGATGCAGGGCATCACCATAAAATCAAAGAAATGCAAAACGCTCAAGAGCTCTGTTTGGTCCTTGAATCTAATCTCCCTTTATTGAAAGATCAGGAAGAAATAATCAGTCCAGGCTTCTTAATCTGTATCAGCATAGTGTAATTCTTCAGATATATGTGAACTAAACTGATATGAGGGACAATCACAATTAAAGCACCAAGTGAACTTTACCCCAAATCAACAGTTTCTTTTAAAGTGAGCTTCATGGATAATGCACAACCTGGAATACCTGCCAGCCAAATGGAAGAGGAAAAACACAAACAAACAGCGGATCAGTGACTGACACAAAGCTTTTCACTCCAAAGCAAAAGCAAGCAGATGGTGTCCTCCATCAGTGTGGGGAAGGGAAGAGAATCCAGACTGATCTACTGCAAGGAATGCTCCGACTCCATGTACTTTCACTGTTGGTATTTTTCTAGTAAGTTCTGAGGCTAGTTGTAATCATGCAAATATCAAAGGGTACAACATTCAAAAGGATAAACCCTAACTGCTGTCAGAGCACGATCCCCCATTTCCAGGGGCTTAGCCTCCCGTGCTCAAGGCAAGCTGTCTGATGAGGCCTGTCGTGAAGAAGCAACATAGAAGCAGCCTCAGCAGAGGCCTCCCCAAAACAGCTCTCCTCCAAAGCCTCAGCAGGGCTCCTGCTGCCTGCTGGGTTATCAGAGTCAGCTCCTGGCTGCCTTCCTTGACAGAGCAGAGCAGCACCTGCCCTTGATGCATTCTGACAACTGGCATAATTTCAAAGACTCACTGCAAATGCCAGTTACGATCAGTTCATTTGACTGTGCTTTGATTTTTGTCAAAGTATTAGTCTTTGAAGCTAACCAATCATGGCTAACCGACATTTGAGAGGTAAACCAGAATAGCAGCGTCCCTCAGATCGCTGTCTGTCTCTGTATAGATAAAAAGAGGTCATTTATGCTTGTTCCAGAATTAAGCTGTAGTACTACATAAGCATGTTTTACTGATATCACTTAACAGAACTGTTCATGCACATTTGTGTCTAACAGAAAGAAAGGAAAAAGGAATGCCATTTACCTGTTCTGTTTCACGTAAAAAAGGGAAGGTATGCCCGGGTAAAATAAAAGGGCATTCCCATTTCTGCTTTGTAGGGCAGAAGACTTAGCTGTTAGGCTAACATCTTTATGCTATATCCTAACCAATTTTTTTCCTGTGAATGTTCCCAGCAAATTAATAGACTTAGCTTTGACAGTACTGGCAGCAGATGTAATCAGGAAGAACCCATGAACAGCAGCATTTCTCATCTCAACAATGCAGATATTTAGCTAAACATGCTGCTTAAACTGCCAGCAGTTATTTAGAATTTTGTCTGTCTCCCATTTCAGCTTTATCAACGGCAGAAAATGTGAGGAAAGAGGCTAAAAAAGACAGATCTTGATGTTATCTATACAATAAAATTAGACTTTACTTGAATTCTACAGATGAGAGAGATTTGACTGGCTCTACTAAACTAGAAAGTCTTAAAAAGTTTAATACACTGAGCTTTGAAGAGAAACAACTGAGGTAAGAGCTAGTGCAAAGCTAAACTAGATTCTAAAATCAAGAATATTGAAACCCTGACTGATCTTGTTTCTAACATAAATGGATCTTTGTCAAACTACAGTCTGCAAGTCCAATTATGATGCAAATATAGGGCAAGCAGAGTGGTACAGTTTATCAAAGTCTTCAGGGATACAGGCAACTCTGTAAACACATATCTACTGGACTGGCTGATGAAAATTATTTTCCCAGCGCTGCAGCTGTAACCCTTGCCAGTCCACATCTGCCAGACCCTACACCAGTACTTCATTATGTGTACCTTGGTGCAATATTGAAAGACTATTTATCTTCCTCTTAAACTCTTCACCCGAGAAGATTTAGGTGGAAAAAGAGGAGATATATGTAGAAGTAGCTGCTTCATGATTTATTGCTAGGACTGAAACTAACCATGAGCAATGTTGGTGAGACAGCAAAGTTGAATCGCTATTTTTGGCAGCAGATGTCAGTAGGAGTGCAATGATTTTAGGCAAAGCAGGAGTGTACCTCCAGTCACACAGGATTAGCAACTCCATTCCTCTTTTAGAGGAGGTTACTCCTTTCTGAGTCATTACACTGACTTCCTGAATCCTATCACTAAAGAGCTTTGTTCCAGTCAAACTAAAGAGTAGTAATATAATAGTCGTTCTCTTTGACAAGTCTAGCTCTACTTCTGTCTGTAAGCCACATGTCTCTGCAGTCCACTAACTTGTTAAACTAGCAGCTCAGATCCAAACTTTGTTAATTCATCCTGGAGTAATCCAAACCAAATCCAACCTAGCCACATCCACCTCTAAATAAAGGAGGAAGGGAGGGGGAACAAAACAAAAAAAAAATAAAAAAGAAAAACACAAAAGAGGGAAATCAACAATAGTCAACATACAAGAATGAGTTCTTGGGAAGAAATTTTATACTACAGTTGTTCCCATGTTAGCAACAGGAGAGGTGCTCTAAGCCTCTAAGTCACCTCAAGGGCTACAGTAATCAACACAACAGCCATCTATTGCTTACAAAAATCTGACAACGGTCCTTCTCTCCTTCAAGTAAGAGGACTAGGCAACACTGGATTTAAGTTTGATCAGATTCTTTGCTCAAACTGGAGAGGTCCAAGAAATTCTCACTTTAAAGAGCTTCATACTTTGCATCTTCTGTAGCTTAGGTCAAGTGCATCCATCACCTACCTTCCCCGCTCCTTCCCCCGCAAAGTCCAAGAGCCTCCACATATTGCATCTGTTTCTCTTTACTGCCAGAACAATACATGGCCCTACAAGCTTTGTACCCTTTCCTCCCCTGTGCCAGGGAGTTCTGGGTGTCTATTTTCATATAGCACTTTACTTTGGCAAGATTGAAGAGCCAGATAAAGTGTTAATATTTTAGTTTCCCTTAGGAGAGGAAGCAAAGCCAAAAGACAAACACCACAAAGGTGCATAAAAAGCCCCACAGGCTTAGTCAGTTGTATTTTAAATTATCCCTACTACAGACTTGCACACCCACTGGTTTTGGCTTGGGAGCTGGTCTCCTGCTACATCGACTCTGCTCCTGAACATACCTCAAGCTACCACCAACACTTAACAGTGTTCTGTCTGCTTCTAACAAGGGAATAAAAGCCAAGTTAACGGCTCAGATTCATCTCCAACAGTCTGGTACAGACTAGCGATACCATCTGCCTCCGAGCTCCCTCCTCGTATTTCAGCCTAAGCGTAAACAAGCTGTTCATAGGCAGTCATCGTTTTAGGCAGCCAAGAATTTATCATACCATGTAGGTATAGTCACAGTCTCTTTCAAGGGAGGGATGCCCCCAAAAAATAGAAAATGGCGTGGCAGCTCAGGCCACAGCAGTAGTACTATGGAAGAACAGAAATTAGGATAGGGTGAAAGGAACAATAAAATTCCCTCCCAAAGATACCAGGTAAGGAAAGCAAAATGCAAAACAGCAGAAAAAGGAGCAAACAAAGGTCTAGTGTTCTCACTCTCTCTGATGTAGCTTGACCACTATCAACAAAAGTCACTAATTCAGGCATACAAACACGAAAAGCCATGTGGTTGCTTGATATTCAAAGTAACAAAGTATATATATACACATAAGACTAAAACAAACAGAGGCAGTGCATGCACCTTACTACCCAAATGCTACATTCTAGAGGAGACTTCAGAGCATCTTCATTTTACACAGGTCAAACTGAATTTTAATATACAAATGGAAAATTAATAAATTAAACTTGGCTGTTTCAGGCAAACAGAAGAATCTGATCACCAGAAATCTCTTCCACTTGAAGCAAATGAGGGCAATTTTATTTGAGAGTTACTGTTAATACAGAGTTTTCATTACAGCCTTTCCCCCATCTATACTCCCTCAGACTGCCCAGAATCCACCCTCACTCTCCTACTGGGAAGCATCACTCCACAGCTGGCCTCATGCCTGATTCCAAGCTTGAGGTGACAAGGAAAACCATGTTTATAGCCTCCCTCACATCCCAGTGACAACCACCACTGCCACTCCCCTGGCCCCCCACAGACCCTATGGACACAAGTGCTTCAGAATTAGCCAATACAGGTGGGAGAACAGAAGCCCTATATCTTACGCAAATGTTATTTCTTTTTAAAAGAAAAGCCTGTTCTGCGGCAGCCTTTTTTTACCTGCTCCCGGAAAACAAGCAACGAGGTGCCATGAAAATTATTAATTCTTCTAACATAACAGATAAATAGAATATCCAAGTTAATAATGAGAATACTACTGCAGCTCCATTGCCTTCTTCACTGTATGAGAAGAAAACGCATAGCGTTAGAGAGACAAAGAAGAAAGCAGCTAAAGTTTTACTGCCAGTTCTGTGTACCACAGGAGGCCAAGCAATGGCACTATCACCACAATACTACAGGCAAAGCTACTCTGCCAGCCCAGGGAAGAAAAATAAACAGCCCACATACAAAAGCAGTCCTTTGTTAAGTTTCCATGAACAACAGACGTGCAGAATACAGAAGGCTCCATGGTAGTGTCCTCCTCAATCCACCACCCTAGCCTCAAGCAGATTGCCTTTGCAAGATACACAGCTCCTCTCTTGTCATTGTTCCAGTATAAGCCCTCACAGCAGAACCTGTCACAACCCCTGTGCCACCTGAACCTGTTCACCAGAGAGCTGCAGAGACTCAAGCAGCAATAAATATCAACACAGACTGAAAAAACAACCTTACCCCAGTGAAAGAATGTCAGCAACAGGAAACAAACTGCAGGGGAAGAAATCACAGTGCTTTTAAAAATCGTAAGGGAACAGCAAGAAAATATCTCCATGTGCATTATTGATTAATGAGTAAACAGTCCACAAGCAACTAAACAGTGAAAAAAAATAAGTGGAAGGTGAAAAATACTTTTAGTTTAGCTTGCTTCATTTCTATTCCCACAGCTTTTTGTTACTGGAGTCCAGAAACAAAAGGCTTGTATTCTCCTTTCTACCTTCTCTAAATTCCTATTGAAGTGAGCTGGTGTCATGCAAATGGGTTTTTTCTAGGTTTTGGGTCGGTTGTTTGTTTTTGGTTGGTTGGTTTTTTTTTTTTTAAAAAAAAGAATTCTTACAAAATGGAAATGTTAGATCTGAACTACTTGAAAGAAAACCCTAAGCCTTCCAGTATAAAATTCTGTCATCAATATAAAAATAAACTGCCTACAGTCTTGTCTAGAATAACATCCCACTTTCAAACCTGGTAACTTGTTAGTTTTAAATAAACTCTAAGCTCAGCAACGTCAAGAAGACCTGCTTTTATTCCAGTATATAAGACCTCTTTTACATACTGTATTCTGTTTGCAGAGGTTGTTGGTCATGCTTACTTAGAATTCAAGTATTGCCAAGGGTGGCATAGATCTCAACTTTGCACAAAACAAGCCAGAAAATAATGTCTACTCATTCGATTGCCAACCAGGAGTTTGCAGCTTGTGAATCATAAGATATGCAGGACAAGCCTACAGGGCTGCACAGAACAATAGCTTCTGTTTTAAGAGGTCTCATAATTAAAAATAAATTTGCTAGAGGGTTATTAGGCAATTATCTTTCCTCTGCATGCAAACTCCACTAACACTATTCACACATAGAGCAGATAACACAGTTCTTTCTGTGGTCCACCCCTGCATCCATCCCCATCACACAGTTTTCAGTCACAGTTTTTAAAGATTCTCCAAGACAGAGTTCAGCTTTACAAGCTTCCGTCCCTCAGGTCCTGTTTCTAATAACTGTGATACAGTTTTCTGCAGGTCTCAGCTTGTAGAATCAATAGATGTGGGAAGCTGAAACACAAATAAGCGCATGGACTTGCTTGAGTAACTGTAGCGGAAACAGCAAAAAGACCAGAAACTTTCCATTCACACAGTGCTATTTGAAAGTGTTTTCAAAGCAAAACTTCAAACAAGTTGATGCGCAAAACTGAAGATCTCTCCAGAAAGTTCTGAATTCCATCACTCGAAAGCATGCAAGTGTTCTAGGAACAAGCCAAGTAGCTGGTAATGAACATGGAAAAAGAAAACAGATGATGCGAGAAATGGAGGAACACGGCCGAGGGTATCACCGGCCGGATGCCCTGAGCGCAGGTAACGCTTTAACCGGCCTCACCTTTCCCCGGCCTTTCTTAACTCAGCGCGGGAGCCAGCGAGGCGCCCAGCGGGCCCACGCGGAGGACAGACGGGTA